GCCAGGTGCGGTGGCAGGCGCCTGTAGTCCAGCTACTCGGGAGGCTGAGGCAGGAGAATGGCGTGAACCCGGGAGGCAGAGCTTGCAGTGAGCTGAGATTCGGCCACTGCACTCCAGCCTGGGGGAGAGAGCAAGACTCCGTCTCAAAAAAAAAAAAAAAAACAAAATACCAAGAGTGATGTTAAAGCGATGAAATTTTAGGAAAAAAAATAAAATTTTAAGCAAACCATAAGTAGAACTTAAAGATTTTGAAAATTCTTAATCTAGCCATATTGTAAACAATTACAACACTTAGGGTATGAATGAGCATCCGTTTGATAGAAGGATCAGTATGGGTGTGAACCATAGACTTAACAAGTAAATCCAGGAGGAAATCGAACTGAAGGAGAAGGAGATGAGAAGAAATAAAGGAAGACTGTCAGACTTCTTGGATTTTACAGGACAGGACCAGGAAGCTGTTCAGCTGAGAATATGGGCTATTCTTCAAGACAAGGGAAGAATGCCTCTGAAAGTGATTCACAGATCATCAGGGAATGCCTCCTCAGTTTCAAAAGGGTAGCTCACTACCTTGCTTTCAACAAAAAAAAGGCCTCTGCCCAGAGCTGTGGGGTTGGGGCCACCCAGAGCCATGGGGAAATAATCCCTGCTGAGTAGAGCTGTTGGGGCAGAACCTTCACCTCACTGGGTCTAGAAGGCTAAACCCCTGACCCAGTGGGTCTGGAAGGCAAGAGCTCTACCCCAGTAGGCCTGGGATATAGAATTGAACCAAAGAGGATTATTCTTGAGCCTTATGATCTCATGAAATTTACTTTATAGTTTGGATTTATTTGGAATCTGATACCTCTTTCTTTTTCTTATTTTTCCCTTTTCAGATGAAAATGTCTATCCTATGCCCATCCCGCTCATGTATTTTGGAAGTACATAACTTTTTTGATTGTATGGGTTCACAGCTGAAGAGCAACTGATCCCAGCATAAATCATAGTTCAAGTCTCACCCGTATCTGATTTAGTTGATATTTTATTGAGACTTTGTACTTTAGAGTTTTGAGTTAACACTAAAAGAAGTCGGAAGTCTGCGGTGTGTTAGGATGAAATAAACATATTTTGCATATGAGATGGACATAAATTTTGGGAGACAAGGAGTGGAATGCTATAGACTGAATGTACATGTCGCCACAAAATGCGTATGTTGAAATCTTAACCCTCAACATGATGGTATTAGTAAGTGAGGCCATTGGCAGGTGGTCAGGACATGAGGGAAGAACCTTCATGAATGGGATAAGTGTTTTTATAAAAGAGACTTTGGAGAGCTGCCTTGTCCGTTCACACATGTGAGGACACAGTGTGAGGATGGCAGTTCATGAACCAGAAGGCAGGCACTAACCAGTTGCCGAATCAGCCTTGATCTTGGACTCCCCAGCCTTTAGAAACGTGGGAAATACATTTCTGTTGTGTATAAGGTGCCCAGTCTGTAATAGTTTGTTATTGCTGCCCAAACAGACTAAGACATGATACCTCATAGGACTGTTGTGATAATGAATTTTATATTTACTGATAACATTCACTTAGGAGTTGTTTTCTCAATTTATTCCTGAACTTAATTGAAAGAAAAAGAGATGTTAATTCCTATTGAGTCAAGCATTACATTAATGTGGCTAAAATGCCACTTAGAAGAAGTGGTTCTCTTTTCTCTAGTTAGATAATTTCTTGAATTTTGCTCTTTTCTCTCCCATCATAGATTCCATTCTAATGGATTATGATTGATTTTCTTGCCTTGGCTAGTTGGAACTCCAGGACATGTACAATACACATCAGCAGCCCCAGGCTGGAAGACTTTATGGGGCCTTGCAGATCTCAATTCTTATTCAATTCCATGAGGTCATGTTACTTTTAGCTCAGTTTCAACTTACAGAATCATCAATTTCAGTTTAACTTAATGTTTGATAAACTGAAACCCTAGTATCATACTTAGTATTGTGTTTTTTTCATACCCAACATCCAATTTTACTAAATTTTTTTAGAATCTGTAACCAACTTATATCCTAAATGAAACTTCTGTAACCTGTCTTGCACCTCACCACTCACCTGTAATACTGAATTCCCTGTTTCCACTCATACCAACCTCTGATTCATTTTTCACAAAGGATTTATTAAGTTTTATCTATACAATGACTTATCCATTACAATAAGACTAAAATACAAACTACCTATCATTGTGTACCCAGTACTACATGATTTGGCCTCTCCCTAAGTTCCAATTCCATATCTTTCTGCTTCCCATACTGTTGGCTGTGCTGTGACCACACTGGTCTACTTGACTACACCAAGCTCAATTCCCATCTCCAGGCCTTTGAACCTGGTCTTCCCTCTACTTGAAATGCTTTTCCCTCTTGTTGTCAAATGTCTCTTTCTCTTAAGAAGCTTTTCTTGACCACTCTAAAGCTTTCTCTTCACTTTCAGTCATTCTTTACCATATCAAAAACATAAGCCTTCATTGCATCTATTAAGATCCAAAATTATTTATGCTATGCATTTTTCTTTCCTCATTATAGTGGAAGTTCCATGTAGATCGAGATCCTGACTGTTTTGTTTGTTATATTCTCGAAACTTGGAAATAATAATAATGCTTGGCAGGCAGTTAGAATGAAAGAAATGTGTGTTAGCTAACTAAAGACAGCATCATCATAATCTTGGAGGAAGTAGATGTGTTATGTACGGGTGTGGGGGTTGTGAGTGTAACTGATCAGCTAATGCAATTGCTAGTTCTTTTTTTCAACTTTCAATTAGGTTGAGAGTCAGTTGTGCTGTTGATTTAAAAGGGAGAATCAGTTGTCCCCATGTGCTCCCAACAGTCTTGACACAGGGCTTATTACTTCCTCATATTTTCTGAAAACGGAAACATAGTTGTAGCAAACACAATAATTACTCTGAATTTTATTGACATTTCCATGGAAAATGTGGGAGTAGGCCCTCACTGCAGATCCCCCAGCAAGCAAATTCACTAGATCCTATTAGACATTTATGTTCTTTCCAGAATCCTTAGTAGTGCCAAAAAATATGACTGCTTCTCCTTTTACCCATTCCTGTCTAGCTCTCTTCCTCTGAGAGCTGTGACTTTCCACTGTGTTCTCTAAACCACCCAAGCTTCTATTACGTCAATGAGTATAAGGGCATTGAAACAGCTCCACACTTGCAAACCCACCAGCCAAAAACAAACCAAACCATAACAACCGAAAACCTTCAGGTTAGAGGATTCGTACATTAAATACTTTTATATCTAACATTATCCAGTTGTGTATTGCACAGGATTGTATTCGATTTTACTAAATCCTCACTTGTAGTAAGAAGATCTTTCTTCAAAACCACTCCTGTGAACTAGCAAGTCAGCCTGAAATTCGAGAGAAAGGGCCCCGGAGTTAGCCTGCCGGTATTCTACCCACACATCATTTTCTCTTTGTATGAATTTGGACAAGTTACTGAATCACTCTGAGTCTCTGACTGTTCAGGTGCTGGAAAAGATTAAAAAATAATTTGGCCGGGCACAATGGCTCACGCCTGTAATCCCAGCACTTTGGGGGGTCAAGGCAGGTGGATCACGAGGTCAGGAGATTGAGACCATCGTGGCCAACATGGTGAAACCCCGTCTCTACTAAAAATACAAAAAAAAAAATTAGCCGTGCGTGGTGGCGGGCGCCTGGAGTCCCAGCTACTCAGGAGGCTGAGGCAGGAGAATGGTATGAACCCAGGAGGCAGAGCTTGCAGTGAGCTGAGATGGCGCCACTGCACTCCAGCCTGGGCAACTCTGTCTCAAATAAATAAATAAATAAATAAATAAATAAATAAATGGTAATAATTTTCACTTTGAAAGACGGCTGTGGTTTTAGTGGTGTGGTCTCTTGTAGAGTGCTTATCCCCATGTCTGGTACATGGTATACCTTAATAAAGGTAAACTTTCATTACAAACCGTGTGCCTTTTGGTGAATTTTCTAACCTCTGTGCTTCAGTCTTCCTTAGTAAACTGGGCATAATAATACCTCAAGAATACAATGCATTCTTATTTACTCTAGTCACCACGATGTAAACTAGAGCTCCACAACTCATTCCTCCTGCCTAACTGGGACTTTTTACCCTTCAACCAGCATCTCCCCATTCCCTGTGCCCCCAGCCCTTGGTAACTACGCTGTACTCTATACTTGAAAATTGCTAACAGAGTAGATTTTAAATGTTCTCATCACAAAAAAAATAAATATATGTGGTCATGAATATGTTAATTAGCTTGATTTAATTATTTCACAATGTATACATATATCAAAATACCATGGCATACATGATAAATATATAAAATTTTTATTTGTCAATTAAGACAATAATAATGAAAATATAAAAGAGGATTTTCATTAAAAAACATTTTAACATTTTTTAACATTTTATATATTTATATATTATTTATATAAATGTAAATATAAATCTATTTATATATTTAAAAGATTTTAATATATTGCAAAAAGATTATTTGGTGGGAGTTTAGAACAGGAATGAATCAGGCTTACTCAGCCTGGGAAGTTTCAGGGTCTCTTTACAAAATGTACTATAACCAAAATATTGTACTTTTACCACCAATATAATCACCCTGAAGAGGTGGGTAAAAAAGCATGGAGAAGAAACTTTTCAGGGACGCCGGCATCTATTTGTTTCTCCCTCGTCCCGTGGTGATTTCAGCTATGTTGTAATTAGGAGCTCTTTGCTACTGAGCAGGATGCTCCTGTGTGAGGCACTTAGGCTTGTCCTAGGCCTGGTTCTCATTATATCCTTTTCTTCTTCAGCTCTTCTCTCCCTAGGCTGCTGGGCAGGCAATTGACCACAGGTAATTGGTGCATTAAAACAGAACATGTAGATGCCTACTGAAAAGGAGATTTTACAATTAGATTCTGCTTCAGTTAGGAGGCTGTTTCCCTTTCTCTTCCTGAGGCCTTACCCCTCTTCAAAGCAAAGTTTGAGTTCTGTAAACAAAAGTACAAAATTTGTGTACTAAAACCAGCTTGTGTCAGTAGCGGGAAGGGACTTGGGGCTAGGTTAGGATGCACCGATCTTTTGAGCCAAGTCAACTTATTTAATTCATGGAAGGAGAGTGTGTTCCTTTCTTTTGCTTCTGTCTTTGCTCAGATATCTCTTTGAGAGTTCTCAGATTTCTGTTGCTGCTGTAATATCAATAAATAGGAAGAAGGAGGAAAATAAAGCGGTGACAGGGACCCTGTCTCTAAGCTCATCCACACCCCCAGCTGAAATTATCCTTCTCACTGGGGCACAGGTGCTGATTTCCCTGCCTGATTTGGTCATTAAACACTTCTTGCTGCTTCAATACATTTTCCGCCAAGGCCCCTGTCAAGGATGCTGCTTCTCCTGTGATTAGAACACAGTCAATTGGGCCTCTGAACCTATTACTACCCTTTTCTTAATGACCTTATAATAGCTGCCGGACTTATTCAGGCCACTTGATAGATAACGATGTCAATTATGCACACCTCAAATAGTGTCTTCTCGCCTGGTACAATTTCTTGCTTAGTTTTGTTTTGTAAAAAATAGAGCCAGCCAATAGCAAGATAAATGCTTCTCTAATTTATATTTTCTAAATATGTCATACAGGTTTGGGTTCATGATCCAATACATTCATGAATTGCCATGGGACTAATAATACCAGTTGCTTCACAGATTGTATGACGACAGAATCAAATAAAGTGCGTTTATTCATATAAAATTCTTAGGAAATTATCTTAAGATAAAGGGTTTTAATTTTGTTAGTGATTGCCATCCTTATTCATTACAAATACAGCTTTTTTTCCTCTTATATGCAGGTGAGTTTTACTAAGTAGAGGTGAGGTTACTGAGGGAGGAGAACAAAAAGGTAATAAAAGATGAGTTGTGTATTAGGCTGTCATTGCATTGCTATAAAGAAATGCGTAAGACTGGCTAATTTATAAGCAAAAGAGGTTTAATTGGCTCACAGTTCTGCAGGCCTGTTGGGAATCATGGCACTGGCATCTGCTTGGCTTCTGCGGAGGCTTCAGGAAGCTTATAATCATGGCAGAAGGTGATGGAGGAGCAAGCATACCACATAGCCAGAGCGGGAGCAAGCATACCACATAGCCAGAGCAGGAGCAAGGAGGAGAGGCGGCGCCGTACACTTTTAAATGACCATATCTCACCAGAACTCACTCCCTATTTCTAAGAAAACACTAAGCCATGAAGGATGTACTCACATGACCCAAACGCCTCCCACGAGGCCCCACTTCCAGCATTGGGAGTTACAATCCAACACAAGATTTGGGTAGGGACAAATATCCAAACTATACCATTCCATCTCCGGCCCCTCCCAAATCTCATATGCTTCTCATGCTGCAGAATACAATTATGCCTTCCCAACAGTCTCCCAAAGTCTTAACTCATTCCAGCATTAACTAAAAAGTCCAAAGTCTCATCTGAGACAAGGCAAATCCTTTCCACTGATGAGCCTCTAAAATCAAAAAACAAGTTAGCTACTTTCAAGATACAATGGGAGTATAGGCATTGGGTAAACACTTCCACTTCCTGTGTTACTCCAGTCATAACACTCGCTTGAACTGCCCTGGCTGCAGGCCTCTCAGCCTCAGGAGCACTTTAGGAACTGGCTCACATTCCCCAGGAGCCAGAACACCTGTCACCTATAGCCCTTGGGCTCTGTCACTGACTCAGGTGGCTCCCCACCTTCCACAACCAATCTGTACTTTCCAGTGTTTGTGGGTGGACAGTGAAGAAGACAAATGCAATAGAATATTCTTTATGTTATCTTTGAAGTGATGAATTTCTCATTGTCATTAATTGCAAACTGATAGGTTAAAGAGCATAGGGTCCATGCACACCATGCCTCTAAATTGCCTAATATTGGGATGAGATTTACTTTTTTTAAATGTTCTAATCTAGTCGTGATGAATTCTAACTCCTTCACGTTGAGCTGCCTTTCATTGTGGTTTTAGTTTTGTTCTGCTGGGCAGGGGTTTCTCTGCTGTAGAGCTTTGACCAGGATGGGGTGGTTTCCTTCAACCCCTAATTCTTGGCAATTAGTTAATATTCCTTTCTGCTGTTCCGTCAATTCTCATACATGCAGTGCCTGAATTCTACTATTATAAATAATGAACTGGAGGTTATTTTTTTTCTCTCTCTTACTGCAGCCTTCAGCTTTCTTTGCCTCTGCCCACATCTTAGATACTAAAAATACCTCTTAATATATCCTTGTACCACTGGTTGGAGTCAAAGGCCTCCAAACATTAATGTTATTAATTTTTGAATATTTTCTCCTAATTTAATTAGAAACCTTTTCATTTCAAGTAATAGACACCTAGTTCAAACTGAATGATAAAGAAGGGAGGGATGGGGGAAGGGAAAGAGGGAGTTATTGGTTTGCATTGGGTGGAAAGTACAGGAATTGATCTGGCTTTTGTCAGGAGGATCAGGGAATCACGGGTTAGCAGGATGTCATGAGTCACCTGTGTCTCTCTCTATTTCAGATTCACTCTCCTCTGTGAAATGACTTCATATTGGTGAGTCATTAATCAGGTGATCAGGAAATGTGGTTTTTGGCAGACAGTTGGGGTCATGCAGCTTGATATTCAAGAGAAGTAGAACCCTCTCCTCTTCCAGAGGACATCTCAGGTAAGATTTTGATTAGTTTTGCTGATTTCACGACTATCTTGAACCAATCACCCTGTTGGAGAAATTAGCACTGTAATTGGCTATTGTGTAACAAGTAAGGATGTTGAAGAGAGTCCTTTTGTGACAGTTTCATTAAATTACAGTTCTGAGTAGGAAGATTTCCCAGAAGAGAAGAAAAGGTTTATACTGAAGAAGATAAAGGGATTTAAAGGCCTCAAAAATGGGCAATGACCCAGCTCTCATCAAGATAAGGCATGAATCCAGCCATTAGTTTTTGCACACATAAATAACTATGCCCTTCATGTGTCAGAGGTCATGTAGACCTTAAAGAATTCCCACACCCACATGACAGTGGGTTGGTGTAATCACCTCCATTCCAAACACATATCTATGTGATATGGTGCTTTCCAATAAAGATAACTCATCCATTCAGTGACATTCCCCCGTCTCCAAAAAAACAGGCTTCTGTGACCTTGGGTTTAGTAAATATCTTGAATGCTCTTGCTATATTCTGTCCTCCTTTACTGCGTTGTCTTGAGTCTCAATTGGTTTGACTTCATCTCATGTTTTCTTTTACCCTAGGGTTTAAAAATTCATTTAAAACTTGAATTGACTCTGCGTTGAGCCATAAACACATACTGGTTTACCTCCTGCTTCTGATTTCTCCACCTCAACTCCTCCCTCAGCACTTAGAAGGTTGAATGAGAAAAGAGAATGAACGCGGGCTTAGAAGGCAGGCAGGCCTGGGTGTGAACTGTGTGTTCACTTAACAACAACAGTGATGTCAGCCAATATCAATAACTCACATACATAGTGGCTTGCTACTATGTATGCAGCATGCACTGCCCAAAACACTTTTAAAACATATTTTCGTTTTAAACACATTCTCCTTTACTTTATACTCTATCTCTGACTCCTCTTCTTTTTCTTCCTCTTTTGCATCCTCCTTTGCTTCTCCTTCTATCCACTTTCTACTCACTTACTGCCATTTTCACTACGGAGCTTTGCAGAGTGGGAGGTAAGCACTGCTTAGTATTTAAGTCACTCAAGTAACCTCTGCTCCATATAGTGTGCTGGCATGGCCCAATATCTCAGCCCTATGCCTGGTACTGCCCCTTCTGTACTTCCCAATAGGTATTTGCTTTGGGTGCCATTTTGCTCATCCAAAGAGAACTCTGGGATAATCCCAATCACTGTCGTTGCATTTATCCTCTCCATGCACTGCTGTCAGTGTCCTGTGCCCCATTAACATATTTCTCCTAACTACCTTCTCCTTTACCCTCAAAATTCAAATTGACCCTGTCTGATTCTGCTCAACTCCATCATTAAGGAAGGCATGCTAATATCAAGTATCCACCATATGTCACACATTCCGCTGGGTTCCTAATGTAACTTATTTCCTTTATATTCACAGCAGCCCTCTGAAAGAGGTATTATTTTCTTAATCTTATTAATAAAAGAATTAAGACTCAAGGAGGTAAGTGACTTGCCAAAGACAACCTAAGTAGAAAGACTGCCTGGGATTCCTTTTTTTTTTTTTTTTTGAGACGGAGTCTCGCTCTGTCGCCCAGCCTGGAGTGCGGTGGCGGGATCTCGGCTCACTGCAAGCTCCGCCTCCCGGGTTCACGCCATTCTCCTGCCTCAGCCTCCCGAGCAGTTAGGACTGCAGGCGCCTGCCACCTCGTCCGGCTAGTTTTTTGTATTTTTAGTAGAGATGGGGTTTCACCGTGTTAGCCAGGATGGTCTCGATCTCCTGACCTAGTGATCTGCCCGTCTCGGCCTCCCAAAGTGCTGGGATTACAGGCTTGAGCCACCGCGCCCAGCCTGCCTGGGATTCCTCCCACGACCTGTTGAACTCAAAGGTCCACACTTCCTCCATTCTGCCAAACTCTATCACTAACAAGAGGACTAGACGTCGTATCAATTCATTAACCACACCCTAGTCAACCATGCCTCTGCACTCTCCATGGCAGCAACTGACTTCCCTGTTAACTCCTTTAGTGTTTTTTGTTCACTTACCCTGAGTCCAAGAAGTTAGAGAGGCCATTGTAAAGAAATGTTAGATTCTAACTCCTGCTGGAAGCAAGAGAGTGGAAGTCGGCGGGACACTGAAAGGTCACTACAGTTTGTGGCAGCTGCTGGTTTTGAAGCACTGGTTTACACTCCACTTTCCTTTCCTGTCGACCCATCCCTGGTTCTTAAAGAGGTCAAGGTCCTGCTGGGTAGCTGATGGGTACAGTTTCTTTCTGTTATGACGATTATGAAGCAAAGACTTGTCATCTCATGCTCACCAGTAAAGCTTTGCCTTTGTTTCATTCAGATATTCTGTATGAAATCTGGGGTCAGTTTTAAGGACAGAGAGAAACCATGCAAAAGAAAGCAGGGGCTGCTGCTGTCTTAGGGATGGAGGAAAGGGGCCATGAGCCTAGAAATGCAAGAAGCCTCCAGAAGTGAAAAAGTCAAGGAAAAGATTTTCCCTAGAGACTTCAGAAGGGGCATAACCCTTTAGATACCTTCATTTAGGTCCAGTAAAACCCAGTTTGGGTTTCTGAACTCCAGAACTGGACAGAAAAAAAAAAAAAAAATTCTGTAGGTTTTTTTGTAACTTGTTTATGGTAATTTGTTACAAAAGCAATAGAAAACTAGTGTACTTATCTCAAGTCTTTTTCCTTCCTGTAAAGATTTTCATTGTGTGTAGTCTTGATACTTCTCATCATCCTACAGAGACAAAGCATGGGCCAGCACTGACCATATTACAATCCCTAGGTGACAGATCCCTACAGTGTAAGGATAATACAGTTTAAATTATTTTGTTCTTCACTTTTTCTTTTGCACAATACAGTATTGAAGGTTTGCCCGTCTGCAAAGCAACCGTTAATTCTTCTCTGTAAGTAAAACTTATTCTGCTTCTTTGAGACAAACGCACTGTCTCACCCTTAGGCTAAATGGTATAGTCTCAGAAAATGCCATTAATATTGCACCTTCCCACTTCAGAAGTGAAGTATCATTCGCTTTCTTTCTCTCAGTAGAAATATATTTCATTACTTGTTTTATCTTTTTTCTCAGGCCCCTCCTTTTCAGTGTCTTTATCAGCTTGTCTTCCTTTGTCCATCCCTTAAGTATCAGTGTATCTGATGGCTGGGGAAATCCCGCTTTTCACACAACCCTGCTTCTTACACAATAAAGGCAACTCAGTTTTTTAGCATTTGGGGTCAGAAACCTCTGAACAATTCTTGATGTTTAAAAATTTACTTTTTTACAATCCCACATCTAATCACTGAGAAAATCCTGTTGACGTGGCTTTGCCTTTTTATCTGCCCAAAACTGACTTGCTTCTTACAACCTCCTCGGCCGTCACTGTGGTCGAAGCCAGTGTCTCTCTCGTACCTTAATTATTACATTTACTTCCTAGTTACTCTCTCCCTGCAGCCACCCTTGCCCAGAGTGCTACTAAGAACTCACCAGGCAAAGCAGTCATTTTGAAATGTGAGTCCTATTAGGACATTCCTCTGTTCAGCCTTTCCCACGCCCACACACGTCACTCACAGTGAAGTTTGTTTTCAGTGTAACCTAGTCACTAACCTGACTTCATCCTCTACGACTTTCTTCCTTGCTTACTCTGCTGTGGCCACACAGCCTTCTTGTTCCTCCTAGAACACATCAAATAAGCTTCTATTTCGGTGCATTCACATTTGCTATTTCTTCATCTTCTTGGAGTGTTCTCACGGATATCCATATGGCTCACTTCCTCACTTCCTCCAACTTTTTCTTCAAATGTCCTCAGTTTGGCCTGTGCTGATAACCATATTTCAAATTTCAGCTTCTGCCACAGCATTTACTTTACCCTAAATAGTCTATGTGATTTACTCGTTTATCATGTCTAATGTCAAAATGTGCCCCCTCACCCACGTAAACTCTGGAAGATCAAGGGCTGTTGTCTTCTTCCATTTCCCAGCTTTTCCCTCAATACCTAGAACAATGCCTGACATAAAATAAATGCTAAAAAATTGCATTCTTCTCATTTTATACATTTTTTTGGGGGGTAACTTCATTCGGTTTCATAAACTCATATGCCAGGATTTCCCTGATCTCCCTCAGAGTGGCTCTGTATGAAAAACTGTCACATTGTCCATTCAGTTCCCTGATCCAGACATTAGGAGCTGCCACATATTTTATTCAGGCATCAAGTGGTCAGGCATTAAATGCATTCGCCTCATACGCCAGGCACAGTGCCACATATCAGGGACATCTTTGTATGAAACAGAAATGGTTCTTGCTCTCAGGAGCTAATAGTCAAGTTGGGAACAGCTAATCACAAAACAGATAAGCACCCAGTGAAAAGAGACAATATTTACTTTATCATCTTCCAGGTTTCTATGGTAGGAAAGGAACTTCTATTGTCACAATGTTAAAAGATAAGAGTAACGATGATAATGCTGGCAACATTAGCAAATGCTCATATTGCACTTCCTAAGTGTCAGGCGTTACACCGAATGCTGAGACCAACCCTACGAGATGGGTAGTGCTATTGTCCCCTTTTACTGAGGCAGAGCCGAGGAACGAAGAGGTCTCATGGCTGGCTCAAAGACACAGGACAAGAAAGTGTCTGAGTTGGATTTGAACCCAGACAGACTGAGAGCAGTGTCTTAATCGCAATGATGACATTTTCATTGTCTTCCTCCAATCAGTAGATTGGAAAGTAGAATCAAGCATTTGGAGCCAAGAACATTCTGGGTTTGCTTTTTCTTCTTAGCAGTCTCAGTACCAGCCCCCAAATGCACCCCACTGTTTGCTTCCAGTTTCAGGCAACATGCATTCTTCTCTCTTCTTCTTTCAATCTAAGGAAAGTCACAGCTTTCTGCAGTCATTGATTTTCATTTTTGCTCTATCAGTTTTCCAACACCTGTGTAACCGTATTTGTGTGCTTGATCCTCTCTATGTGAAATATTCACTGGGTTTTATTTCTTGACTGAGTTTGAGTGATCCAGTTTTATAGGTGG